GTTACGTACGAGCGCTTAAAAGTCTTGACGCAAAAATTTCTCACTGAACAACTAGGTTACTCTTAAAGAACGACTGTTAAATGCATATTATACATTTACTTTGCAAAATTTCTGGTGATTCATGCTGGTGACCGCAAAAAGTAAGTGTAAAGCAACAGCCATTCATACAGTTAATGACCTGAGTAATTCAAGTCGGTGCAAAAGCGCATGATCACACGGGGCCGCCCGGTGCGTTCCAGCCTGGGTTTTTATGCGTTTTGTGCTGTGTAACAGCAGTACAAAACGCATATTGTCACCGGGTTTCAGCCTGGGTTTTATAATGATCTGATAAGATTTTTGGCTAGATTTTCCAGACCCAAATAAAATCGTGATTCTTCCAAAACACCTATTGATCGGAAAGAGTTTTCAAAATTTTCTATTTTTTGCAAATTCGTTTTCAGGAGTCGGTTTGCTTTCTTGGTTACCGGCACCAACGGATTTAAAATTGCTGGAGAAATCGGATCGAATGATGCATGTAGCATGGAGTCCACCGGAGATTTTCGATCCGGCATACAAAGATCTTATCACTCATTACAGGGTTCGAGCTAAACTAACGTATTTTTGTAGTTAATCCGTTGATAAAAGCAACGTCAGCGTTTAAAATAATTGTAATTATTTGTTTTTTATAGGAATTTTATTACTGATAATTGCATTTCCTTTTGAAGCGTTTGTAACAAAAGACATCTTTATTTTTTATTTTAAAACCACGAAAAAAATTTCTGGGGAAATATTGCAGTTTTCAAGGTAACTTTTAATGCATATGACGCAGTTTTCGAGCTAAACAGCAAATGATGAAACACTACATTTGGTGTGCAGCAAAACCAATCCCTACACAGCCAGTTTCGCCATAAAACACATATTCATCTGAATTTCTGGATTTTTTTTGACCCGACTGCTCAGAACTGTAAGGTTTCTAGCTACCTTCGGCCTGCTACTCAGGCAGTTTACGGATAAGTGAATCAACAAATTCTTCCCAGGATGGTTACATAATGCACGGTATCAGAACAGAAATTGGTTCCTTGAAATTAGTTCAAAATTATGGTTCATATAGTTTTTACATATAACTTTGCACTGGCTCATTCTCTCTTTTAAATTCTGGATTGGTTTGATTAATCTACTGTATCTACAGGTAACAATAGC